TTAGTTAAAGGTAAATAAATTTTTAATATTATTTAATATAATTATGCATACAAGATGCAAAAATTAGTTAAAACGGTTATATTTATATTATAGTTTAAAAATTGAACTAGGTAAATATTAAAAAATGTGTTGAATCGAAAATATATTAATCATTTTCCATACTCCAATTGAACACTGATTTTCCATTGGCGCACTTGTGGTTTTTATATTTCTTTGTCCATATGAAGCTTATTATCATAGATTTGCGTGATGCATATTATATTTATTTATTAATGAATCTATGGTTATTTGATAAAAAATAATTATTTTCTGTTACCAAACTTATATTAACCAAAGGTTAATGTATAAGCAACCCCAAACACACGATAAAGGTGCGGTTGGTTTGCAGAAATGACTGGGTAACAGGTTTTTGTCCCTTAAAAGAAGTCATGACTGACTGTATGCAAAGACCAAGATACATGGCCTCCCTTTGGGGTCCCCCATAGGCAACTCTAAAGGTCTAACTGCAATCAAAAGAAATTTCCTCGAAATAGTCCCTTGAGAAAGTTTAGTCATCGCGTAAGTAGAACGCATGGTGTTAATCGGAAGTGGGAAACGTTTCAGCTTGGTCGCAGAAGAAAAGATGTCTGGACGTTTAATGTACACTTGTCTCTTAGAAATACCATACCATATTATATAATATATAGTAAATCAATGATAATTAAATAATAATTTGTTTTAAATAAAACTACTTAATAAAAGATATTTATAAAAAAGAAAATTTTAATCGTCATCTATTTGTCATTGTACAAAAATTTTAGGTAAGATTTATGTAAAATTCAAATTAGAATAATTAAAAAAGGCGTGAGAATACTAATTTCAACACTTTTCGAGTAATAGATTCTTGCATACAATTGGATCACTAGCTAGCTTTATGGAAGCTTCCCTTTTCCTTTGTAGCTGATATTTTCTTCATGGAAATAATTAACTTGCCATGACTAAATAAAAAAATAATAATATTCAATCTCCAAGTCTTTTTAATTTAAGAGAAAACAATTAGGCCAAAAATGGTGGGATTCACGAACATCTTTGTTCTACAAAAATTAAAAAACAATAATCACAAGGTCTAATAAATTTTTCTTTCTTTGGGCCTGTTTGGTACAGCGGTTAAAATTCAGTGGTCAGTCGGTAGCGGGTAGCAGATAGCGGGTAGCGGATAGCGGATAGCTGTAGCGGGTAGCGGATAGCGGATAGCTGTAGCGGGTAGCTGTAGCGGGTAGCGGGTGGCGGTTAGCGGATGGCGGATAGCGAAAAGTGGGTAGCGAATGGTAAATAGCGGATTCGATAAATATAACTGTTTGGTTATACAATAGTTAGCGGTTGTTGTTTAATATCAAATGACTAATAAGGACATGTTTAAAAACAAATAAGTGTATTTTTTAAAATATTTTTATTTTTTATTATTAAAATTATTAATTTTATAGAAAAAATAATAATAAAAT